ATTGGCAGCTGTAATAGCTGATGTGGACCTGCTGTCCTAACCCACCCATCCCACCCCAGGGGAGGACATCCATCACACAGTAATCTCGTGTGTGGGAAATTAACGTCTCCTGCCCCAAACCTGCAGGAGACGGGACCTCCATTTATTCGTCCCTATCCGAGAAGACTAGAATATCTAACCATTTCTTGATGTTATAGAAAGGTAGCAAATTCTTCTCAATTATTCTAAGACCTTGAGTGTTGGTCCGGCCGGGGCTCGAACCCTCGACCTCCCGCACAACAGTCCAGCGCTCTATCCATTGAGCTAACCGGGAGGGGGTTCTCAATTACATTTCCTATGGCACTGACATAAAGAATTTGTTTGATAATCAGGAACGTCTGAAATTGGTGATCAGTTGCTTTGTTCACTTAACCTTTTATTCGATTCAGGGGTTAAGTTATCAGGAGAAATTAAAAGCCATTAATTTTTGTGAGTTAAAGGGTTTGTTACCAGCATCAATGGCTGGTGATTTGGGTCTGAGAAGGAAGTTTAAAAAATCAAATCCTATTTTCTTGCGCTTGTCTTTTTGTTTCGCGCAGTTCTTTGAGTATTGAAAATTTTTCACCAATTTAATTCGAGAACCCGAATCCAAAATTCCGTGGAATGCCTCTTAGATATTCCGAATACATTAGAAATTGTATTTATACAACAGCACTTGTTTTTTAACTAAGAAAGTCCGACGTCTGTTACCAAGGAGCCACCAAGTTTCGACAGCAGTCATCAGTTCACTCAACAACTGTGTTTTCGTTTTGTAACTCGCGTTTTAAAATTTTCAAAACAGGTTTCTGTTGTGAAATGCAAGTCGTAATGAGGAATCTTGTTTTTGTCGGCAGCTTTTTGAGGCGAAATCCGCCAAAGAGAAAGTCAAACGGAAGCGCAAGAAAAAAGACAATGAAGATAAAGAAAAGCCAGCGAGAAGAGGATCGAATGCAAGTTCAACGAACTCTGCTCCTGCTACATCAGAGACACCAAAGAAACGTCGCCGAAAAGACAAAGAAAAAGTCGTCAAAGTGAAAAAAGAAAAGATGGTTGATGTCGAAGAAGACGACGACGAAGATGATGACGATGATGATGAGATTTGCGCCGCCGGCGCGTGCACACGACCTCAAGGGGATGAAGTGGGATGGGTGCAGTGCGACGTCTGTCAGAAGTGGTATCACCTCGCCTGCGTGGGACTAAGCCCGGAGCGTGCAGAAGCCATGGATTCTTATAACTGTCTGCTGTGTGTTGGAGGGGGTGAGGGTTCGTCTACGAATTCAGCTGTGGGGACCCCACCCGGGGCGTCACCTGAGTCAGAGAATGTTGACGTAGATGGTACCACGCCGACTTCCCCAACGCCTCCGGTCTCAATAGTAGATGTTGAAGGGATGGAGACCGCGCAACCTCAAGGACAAGAGCCGGCGGAAAGTGCTGTCGGTTGCCAAGGCGACGGCAACTCGGTGCGCCCAGTCACTACAATCGATTTGTGTTCGGATGACGAAAGTGTGCACGAAGATATTCAGACCGATGAAAACACCGTGGATATTGAAACGGGACCAACGGATCAGGTTTAAAATCCCATATACAAGATGGAAAAAATCTTAATTAACTAAAGACTGAATATTGAGGAACATATTTTTTCGCAATTTTTCCGGCCAAACCCCAGACCCGTGTTCGGGTAAGGCTGTTTTTATAATAGTGTTTGCCATTATTATTCGAGAGAAGTTATCCTCTCTCAGCCGCGCTGGATAACTTGGGTATTTCAAGTTTTGTCGTAATTCTCGAGCCGTTACGAAGTTTTTGACAGTCACAACCGTTTTCCGCTTCCGAAATATACTTTATTTAGTTATAATTAAAAATAAGTCGTTTTTGGAAGACGCGATATATTTCCGATAACTTCTACCAATCAGAAAGGTGTGTGATGTAGCTCGAGCGGCCTCGAGTGTACTGAGAATTTCTCGCGAAGTAGAGGCGACTTTACCAACCGGATAAGATTTTCAAGTTCAAACGGAAGCCGATGATAACTGCTAACTGTTCTTATAATATAATGAATATCTTATAACTTTGATCAACTTCCCAACGCAACAAACAGCTGTGAAAAAAAAGTCTAGAGCTAGAGGTAAAATGTGGGTAGTTAAAACTTATCGAAACGAAACAAAAAACGATGAAAATGGCCTCATTGAGAGTAACTTCGGGTGTAGTTTGGTTTCTAGCTGTTCAAATGAATTATCACAGTGTCGTTTGTGACTTCACCTAGAAACAGAGTATTTTTTTCACTCAGAAACAGAGCAACGTTGGTCTCTCGGATCAGGTGGCCGTTTCTCGATGACTGCGGTAACTTAACGGGCCCACAAGGCTGTGTTTCGTTTTCCTTCAGATGGGCGTTTCGAGAGTTTTGAATCTTCTGCAGTAAAACTTTTAAGTTAAAAGAAACAAAATGGACTCCTAAGAGTGCCAGAAGCTACTTCTCTAATCTTAAAGTTTTTA